AGCGCTTGGTCATGGTGTCCTTCAGGTTCTCCTTGAGCTCCGTGTTCAGCTGGGGTTGGAGTGCAGGAAACTTCAGCCTCAATCTAAGACCCTCCAAGGTGGGGCTGGCAGAGCCCCAGGATGGCAGGGGAGAGGCCCAGGGCCCGGCTCAGACCAAAGGGAACGGCTGGGGCTGGACCTCAGGATGAGGGGAGGTTGGGTGGGGCGGGGTGGCAGTGGAGTGAGTGTGACAGAGGCAGAGAGGGCTTCCGGATTCCCTGGACACCAGCCCGACCTCATGTTCCCCTGCAGAGACCTAGACTCCACCTCCAGGGCCCAGTGGCACGTGGGTCAGCTCTGGCACCGTGGGGGTGGGGGCTGGTGCTAGTCACGAGTGTGTATCTGCGTGTGTGTGCCCCACCTGTGCGTGTCTGTCTGAATGGCCTGCCCAGGCCCCTCACCTGCTGGTAGTAGGCGTAGGCGAGGACACCAGCGATGATCTCCAGCAGAAAGATGATGAGGAGCAGGATGAAGTACTGGGGGGCAAGGACACCCCTGTTCTGAGGCCTAGTGCCTGGGCACCTCGGAGCAGAGCCCCCATCCAGGCTTCCCAGGCTCCAGGTGGGGGCTGAGGGGCTGCCACGCTCCCTGAAACTTGCTTTGGGAGCTGGTGGCTTCCCTCAGCTGGTCCAGCAGGAATGTGGGGACCCACAGGACTGGGCAGGTGGGGAAGGATAGTGCCCCACCCCAACTCGGGCCAGGTGAGCACAGCAAGGCACAGGTTCAAAGCCCCCTTGGGCCCCATCCACACCCCCCGCCCCGTGGCCTCTGCCCTGCTGACCAGACGCAGCAGATTCCGCCGCTCCTTGAAGGTGGCGCAGCAGCCCAGGACCCCGGTCACCATGACGACAGCACCCGCCACCACCAGGATGTAGGCTGTGGCCAGGTAGGTGCCCGAGGCCAGCAGGCTGATGTAGTCACTCTTGAGGGCCAGCGTCCAGATTCCCACTGCCATGACAGCCAGGCCAGCCAGCTACAAGCAGTACACGCTGGTCACCGAGCCTGCCTGGGTCTGAGGGTGGCCCAGGAGGGTGGGGGTGGGGACGGGGCAACCCTTCCTCACCCAGAAGCAGCAGTTGTAGGTAAACAGCAGATACTTGAGGCAAACAGTGCCACATGTTGCCTTCTCGTTGAACTCACCCATCCTGGGGCTGGGGAGGCATAGGAGGGGTCAGCAGGGCCACAACACCAGGCCCGTGACAGGAGGACCGCTAGAAGGAGGGGACACAGATGCCCAAGCCAGCCCAGGAGCTGGGGCGGAGCCAGCCACGGTCCCGGGAGGCCTGCGAAGGAGCCCCCATGGGAACAGGACATGAGCCACTTAGCGACTCAGGAGCCTGACCCAGTATAGCCAGGATAGACCCCTGGTGCGCCCAGACAGGACAGGGGGCCACGGAGGGCCTCCAACCATCACTGCTGACTCACCCCTGCTGGCAGCCGGGGGAGGAAGCCCTATCAGGTCCCTCCAGTGAGCTCACGCCGGCCTGCCCGCCCCCCACGGCATTCCCAGGGGCCCACGTCACAGGCTGGTAGGAGTCTACAGGCCTGCAGTGAGGGCGGAGGAGGCCACTCAGAGAAAGCGGAGGGGTGGGGGTTCCAACAGGCCCCAGCTCAGCCCCTTTCTAAGGCTCTATGGCCCCATTTCCGGTCTGCTAAAGCTCTTCCTCCCGGCCAGAGGGGAAGAATGGATCTCGGAGGCAGGTGGAGCCTGGCAGACCGGGAGGGTTTTTCCTGGACAGCGGCCACACCAACCCGAGGGGCAGCACAGAAACAGGCTGTGCCCCTCCCCAGAGGCCCTGTGCCCGGCCCAGCCCGAAGCAGTGGGCAAGCTGTGAGCACCGGGAAGGCAGGCAGGGTGTGGGGCGCAGACAGCAGCTGAGCGCCCCGGGCGGCGTTTCCAGACAGCACAGCCAAGCCTGGACTTTGACTGCCCCGCCTGCTCGGCCCCACCCTGCTCAGCACTCACCAGCCAGCTGGGAACGACTCCTCCGTAGGACAGGTGGACAGAAGCTCCCCAGGACTCTAGGCTAGAGGGACAAGGGCATGTCAGGTCACAGGGTGCAGGTCTGGTCCAAGGTCCAGAGTGCGCAGGGTTCATTCTGGAGGCAGAGGAGGACTGGCCAAGCCTGGTATTTTGGTCTGGGCTAGGGTGGGGCAAGGCAGAGGACATTTCTTTGTTTTTCTTTTTTGCTTTTTTTTTGGTGGGGGGAAGAGGGGAGTGCACCCTCTTCCAAGCTGGAGCGCAATGGCGCGATCTCAGCTCACTGCAACCTCCTCCTGGGTTCAAGCGATTCTCCTGCCTCAGCCTCTCCAGTAGCTGGGATTACAGCCATGCACCAAGCCACGTGGCTAATTTTTGTATTTTTAGTAGAGACAGGGTTTCATCATGTTGGCCAATCTGGTCTTGATCTCCTGACCTTGTGATCCACCCGCGTCAGCCTCCCAAAGTGCTAAGATTACAGGCGTGAACCACCACCTCGCCCAGTGATTTTATTTTTCGGGAGGGAGTTTCGCTCTTGTCACCCAGGCGGGAGTGCAATGGCAGGATCTCAGCTCACTGCAACCTTCACCTCCTTGGTTCAAGCAATTCTCCTGCCTCAGCCTACTGAGTCGCTGGGATTACAGGTGCCTGCCACCACTCCCAGCTACTTCGTATTTTTAGTAGAGACAGGGTTTGGCCACGTTGGCCAGGCTGGTCTCGAACTCCTGACCTCAGGTCACCCACCCGCCTTGGCCTCCCAAGGCAGAGGTCATTTCTGGCCAGTCTGATCCTGGGAGGGACCTCATGCCTTCCCCAGATGCCCCACCCTGAGCCTTACCTCCAGACCCATCACTGGCCTTTCCCCCACCAAACAGCAGCAGCCACAGCCTGGGAAAGAGGCGCCATGGAGCTGGGGGGACCAGACCTGACCACTGAGCTGAGAGTCACCCTCCGTGACGGAGCTGGGGCCTAATACACGAGGAGTGGCAGGAGCAGACCGTGCCGCCGAGCTGGGGGACCTGCCCCTGGCCTGGCTGTGAGGTCCCAAGCTTTCTGGGGAGCCTGGTTCTGGGCACAGATGCAGCCTCCACCGCCAGGACGCAGCGACCCCCGCTGAGGAGTGGCCCCTCTTCCCAGGAATGCCTGGTCCCTGCGAACCGCCTGGGAAAAGGCCGGCCAGAAAGAGCTCTCCGGCCCTCCCCCAGCCCCCGGGAACTGCACCAGGCCCCCGGGCGGCCCGCGCCCCATCAGGGAGAGCCCCCACAGGCGGGACCCGGGACTCCGCGCCTGCCAGGCGTCCCCGGGCGCTGCAATGAGGTCACCGCCGCCGCCAACCCCGCCCGGCGCGGCCAATGGCGCGCCCACTTGCATGCGGGCGGAGGGAAGGGGGCCGTGTCCAGAGACAATGAGCGGGGTGTCCAGGCTGGGCGTCCCGGGGACGAAGGGGGACGTCAGGCCCGTCCGAGGCCCCGGGAGGCGCCTCTCCCACCCGCCCGGCGCCGCCTCCCGCGGAAGGGCCTGCGAGGAAGCTGGGCCAGGCGGTGGGCGCGGCCTCCCGGGCTCCCCGGGCGCCTGCGGCGGGGCCTCGGGTACTGGGGCGCGCAGGACCTTCGGCCCCCTTGGCCCCCTCGGCCCCCTCGGCCCCCTCGCCCCGCTCGCCCCGCTCGCCCCGCTCGGCCCGCTCGGCCGGCGCCGCGCACTCACTCACCTACCACGCGTCGGAGTTCGGGCCCGGGCGGCGGCGGCGGCGGCGGGGGCGGCTCCCAGCGCGGAGAATGCGCGGCCCGGGGCCTGCGAGGGAGACGCCCCGCCCCGGCCCCGCCCCCGGCCCCGCCCCCGGCCGCAGGCCCCGCCCGCGGCGGCAGAAGCCTGGCAAGTCTGAACCCGCGTGGCGAGCGGGAGCCGGTGGGTGCAGGCGCTGGGGGTCGACCCCGCACTGCGGGGGCCGGGCGAGCTGCAGCCCTGAGGGCGCCAACAGGCCATCAAGGGTCCCCCTATCCAGGGACGGAGGAGCCGAGCGGGAGGCGGGCCCGGAGGTGAGGCGGCGACCCTTGTAGCCAGAGGCCCCGGGCCCTCCTCCATGCCCAACTCCGTCTCTGTCTCCGCACTCTGGAACCGCCCAGAGGCTTCAGGGATCGGCAGAACGGTTGCGGGCCTGGGGCAGGGGAGGGCCTAGCGCTGTGGGCAGACGCAGGAGAGAGGCTAGGCCGCGGGCAGTGTGGACACCCTGGAGACCAGGGCAGGCCGGGGGTCCCAGCCAGAAATACTGGAAGGAGCCACTGGGAGTGGTGCGAGGAGGTGAGGGAGGAAGGCAGGACCGGCCTAAGGCGGCACCAGGAAGCCAAGAGTGGGAGTGAGGAAGGAGGGGGCTCCCCACCCCACCCCGAGCTCATTCATCACTGACACAGATAAGACTGGCAAGGGGCCGGGCGCGGTGGCTCAAGCCTGTAATCCCAGCACTTTGGGAGGCCGAGGCGGGTGGATCACGAGGTCAAAAGATCGAGACCATCCTGGTCAACACGGTGAAACCCCGTCTCTACTAAAAATACAAACAATTAGCTGGGCATGGTGGCGTGTGCCTGTAATCCCAGCTACTTGGGAGGCTGAGGCAGGAGAATTGCCTGAACCCAGGAGGCGGAGGTTGCGGTGAGCCGAGATCGCGCCATTGCACTCCAGCCTGGGTAACAAGAGCGAAACTCCGTCCCCAAAAAAAAAAAAAAGACTGGCAAGGGAAGCGGTGGCCGGGCTCCTGGGCAAGACAGCCGGGCGCCCTGACCCACACACTGTGGAGGGCCCTGTGGGCGCCAGCCTTGATGAGTATGAGTTGGGGGGCATGACCAGGGACACAAGAGGACACACAGGACCTCAGCCCCAGTGCCGCAGGCCCACGTGTTCACCCACACGGCACGCGTGCACAGTGGCCACTCATGCAGTGTGCACACACAGGCTGCGGCTCCCAGACGCATGAAGGCCAAGAGTATGCAGGGCAGGCAGTGGGTTTATTTGACCAGGGGGGTTTTCTGCTGAACTGAGATGGGCTTGATTGAATGGGGACAGAAAGAAGACTGCCAGAGGGCACACGGGACCCTGACCACTCCAGGCCCCTGACCACCCCCAGGCCCCTGACCACTCCAGGCTAGTTCTTCATGTCTTCGGTCAGGCAGGCCTGGGGCCCCCTGGGGAGGGCCCGCATCCTGAGTAGGCACCCCCCACCCATGACAAGTCTCCTGCCAGGGCAGCTTCCAGCTGACGCTCCGTGAGTCACTCGGGGCCCGTCACCGGGCACTGGGAAGGTGGCCAGAGCCGCGTCTGGGGGGCCGAGACCAGCAGCAGCAACAGCAGCAGGTGGGCCCAGGCAGGCGGGCCGTGGTCAGAGCCTTCCTGCGGCTGCTGCCCACCCGCCTGGCCTCGAAGGCGTCCCTGTCGTCCCGCAGCCGTGTGTTCAGCTCCCTAGGGAAGGAGGAGTCCGACATTGAGCCAGTCTGAGGGAGCGCAAGGTTGGGGGGGAGGTGGGCTCTGAGTCCCCTCGACAGAAGAGAGGTGTCTGGCTGGGACTGCAGCATGAGGGGTGAAAGGCAGACATAAGGAAGGACTTCCAGCAGAGCAGAGCGGTAGCCAAGAATGTTGGGGAGCTTGGAGCCCCCGGACTCCGCTGAGCCCCTTCCCTCGCCGGCCTGAGCCTGGCCGCACCTGAGCAGCTCCAGTTGCCGTAGCAGGCTGACTTTCTCTTTCTGCATGTTCCTGGAGACGGCGACCACGTCTCTGTGGGTGGGAGGTGGTGACCCGGCTGCAGGAAGGCTACTAGGGAGCCCCAGGACCCCCAAGAAGACCCTCCCACAGAGTAGGGCTGGGACTTTGAGGTGGGGATGAAAGTGGCGCAGACCTGAGCGCCCGTCGGCCCCTCCCCCGGGACACGCCCCAGGGCCCGCCCCAGCCCGGTTCCCCGGCACCGTTGGGTTTGCTCCTGGCGGCCTCGCGCTTCGCCCTCCAGCCTGCGGATCTGTTCCTGCGCTCCTTCCAGCTGCGCTCGCAGCGCCTCGTGCGCCCGCCACAGCTGGGAGTTCTGGGCCTGCGCCTCCAGGTGCTCCGCAGCCCGGGCCCGCAGCTGCTGCTCTAACTGGAGGGATGGAGACCGGCGAGGAACGCTCCCTCTTCCCCGGGGTGCTGCGCGTGCCCAGGCTCCCGGCAACCCGCGGGCCGGGGGCGCTGAGGCTCAGGGGAGCGCGCACGGCTGGCTGTGGGGACGGGGCTCACCTCCCGCTGCCGCAGGTCCGCGCGTTCGAGGTCCTGCTCGCGACCCTGCAGCTCCAGCTCCAGGCGGCTTCTCCGCTCCCCGCGGGCGGAGTTCTGGGACGCACGGAGGACCACTGAGCCTTCGCCGGCCGCCCGGGCGTGCAGAGGAGGCACACGGAGGGCCGGGGACTGGGAGTGGGCCAGGACGGAGCGGGGTCGGGTGGAGAAGACGGGACGGGCGCGAGGGGTGAGGGCCTGCGGGGTCTCCCTGGACGGGGGGCAGCGGGGCCCCGCAGAGGTGGAGCTGTCAGTGTGGGGTTAATTCGGGGAAGGCGGATTAACCGCGAGGCAAGCGCGGCGGGCCTGCCGGGAGGCCGGGGCCCGAGGCCCACCTGACTTGGCGGGCGCCGGCTTTGCTCGCGAAGCTGCTCCATCTCCTCGTACAGAGCGCGCACCTCCCGCTCGTGCTCGCTCTCGCGCCTTCGGGGGACGGGGAGACCTGGATGAGAACTTGCGGGCGCTGCAGCCCCCCAGCACCCCCTCTGCTTCTGCCTGAGGCCTTCCGCAGGCCCCCAGACCCCACCCGGCGCTCACCTCCGCAGCGCCTGCTCCAAGCCGTCCCGCTCCCGGGCCGCCTCCTCCAGGCAGGCCGACGCGCGTATCAGAACGTCCTCGAAAGAGCTCAGCAGCTCGGGGCGCTCGCGCTGCAGCCGGGCCCAGAGCGTCCTCACAGCCCGCTGCCTGGAGGGCGGGCGGGAACTGAGGCTGGAGCTGGCAGAGGCGGGGAGCAGGCTCCCCTCCGCCCGCGGCAAACCCGTGGGAGACTCCTTGGTCCTGGACCGGACAGGAGCGCTTGCCGCGGGCAGGGCATCCCTCCCTGGAGCGCCTTCCCGCTGCCCAGCGTGGGTGGCGTGTGTGTACCCGGGCAGTGTGTACCCAGCGTGGGTGAGGTGTGTGTACCGGGCAATGCCGGTCTGTGGCCCCGCTCCCGGCGCCGCCCCTCCTCCCTGCAGCCCTGGCTGCTGCCTCCTGAAATGCAAATTCTGCGGGAAATCACGACGGGTGCCTCCCAGGGAGCCGCAGCTGACGCTGGGCTGGGCCTGAGCCTGTGCGGGACCCGCACTCGGGTGACAGGAGCAGACAGCATGCAGGCAGAGAAACAGCAGGAGGGGCGGGTGGCAGGGCCAGCGCCGACTCACTCGCCCAGGACTGGGGCCACCCCCAGCTGCTCCAGCGCAGTGTGGAATCGCTCCTCCTCTTCCTCCTCCTCCTCCTCGTCCAGAGAGCCCCCCGTGCCCTGCATGTCCAACCAGCCCGACTCAAAGATCTCTTCGGGAGCCCTGCCGGGGGTTTCTCCCTGGGCCGACTGCACCCCCACAAACATCCCTGCAGGCATGGAGCGAGCATTAACGGGGCTGTGGGTCACCACCCGGGCTCCGTCCCGTTCACCCTCCCAGCAAGTATCCTGGCCTCTCTCAGGGTCCAGTTTCCTGTTTTTCTTCCTTGTTCTGGTCCTATTGGCCTGGGAACAAGAGGTGACAGGCCGGCTCCCAGTCCCACGGGGCATAGCTCAGGAGAGGAGTGGGGGCAGGAAGATCAGCTTCTGCACACTCCACAGAGCTGGGGACCCCAGGGGCGAGTGCGTGCAGACACCAGCACTGGCCCTGGAGGGAGGAGGAGCACAGGCAGCCCTCAGGGGCCACAGGTGCCCAGCCTCCCGATGGGCGCTCCAGCCTCTGGGCAGTGGGGGATGGGCGGGCCTCAGGCTCACCCAGGCCCAGGCAGAACTCCCGGGGGGTGAGGAAGCCAGTGTGAGCCTGGTCCAGACTTTCAAACACAGCCTCCAGCTGCTCAGGCGTGAGGGGGAGGTCGCTCTGGAGACCCTGGTCAGGGAAGGACAGCAGGGATGAGCCGCTGAGGTCCGCCCCGGGGCCATGGTAGTCTCTTGGGGCCGGGGACTCACCTGCAGGTCGTGCCTGGTGATGAAGCCCTTGGCCTCCTTGTCACATAGCAGAAACAGCTCCCGGGCCTGCTCCAGCATGGCAGCCCGGGGCTCTGCAGGGCCTCCCTCCAGTTCCGCCTCCTCCTCCTGGGTGTCATCAGCCCCAGGCTTTCCCAGGCTGGCCATGGGAACAGAGGGCCTCAGCCTGGCCTTCAGGTGCTGTGAAGCCAAGGGAGGGTCAGAAGAAATTCGGGAGGGGAGCTGCTGGAGTCAACTGCAGGCCCTCCCTGCAGCAGGTGGGAAGGTGGGCAGAAGGCAGGGTGGGGCCAGGGGGCTGGGGCTGTCACTGGGGTGGGTGACAGGTTCAGGGCCTGTGGGTGCTGCCCCATGGGTCTGGCATCTCAGGAAGCTGGAACCCAGGGAGAGGTGAGAGCCCCAGGAGGAGCTGCCCAGTTCAGGATGGGAAGCTGGAGGTGGGGGCAGTCTCAGGGGCCAGTGGAGAAGACCTGGTGATGAGGAAGGTGGCTCCTGAAAGCTGAGAGGGGCGGGCTTGGGGTCAGTGAGGGAGGAGCCCGCCACCTTCTGCAGGTGCAGATCTGACCCCGAGTGAGGGCTCAGCTGGCCCTGACCAAGTCCTCAGCCCCTAGCCTGGGCCTGGGTGGCCCAGCCTCATGACAGCTGGCAGCCGGGCCAAACTCCTCCCTCCTGCCCACCAGCCCCTCCCTCCCCACAACTAAGCCCGCAGGGTGCAGGGGCCAGGTCCCAACCAGCAGAGCCCCTCGCCTCTGACACTCTGCTCAGGAATAGTTTCAGATTCAAAACCTAACACCCCTGCCCCCCCAATCACTAAGGCCCTTCCCTGTCCCAGAACTCCTTGGGACGCCCCACCCCCTAACCAGAGCCACCTGTCCTTCCCACAGCGTCCTCATCCCGGATTCCCAAAGCTGCTCCCCAGTGACACCCGCCTTTCCCCACCGGAAAGCTGGGATCCTGGCCCCTGGCACCACGCCCAGGGTCCTCTGGTATTCCTTAGCCGGGCCACCTCTGCAGAGGGCAAGTCTGAGCAGATGAGGGAAGGGGACCCGAGAGACCAGGGCCATTGCCTCCAGGCCACGTTGTCACCTCACCCTCCAGCTTTCAGGCTAGGCCGAAGGTCCACCCCTGCCGGAAGCCACGGCGGCTGGGCCCCAGGGAGCTGGGAGGATGGGCTGGCCGGGTGCGGCGGCGGCCAGCCGCCTGCCCTCCTGCAACTCTGGAGGCCAGGCCTGCCCTGGCCCCTGCTGCCTCACGTCCCGAGGGGTACCCGGAGTCCCCGACCGACGCGCTCAGGTTTGGCGCGGGCCACGGCGGCTGGGAGAGGGTGTCGGGTGGGCAGCGGTGGAGGGACCTCGGTGGCGGGACCAGCGGGCACCTGCCTACCTGTGAGCTACACTGCCGCACCTGCCTCTCGCCAGGGCCGCTCCTCCCGGAAACGCTGGGCACGCCCCGCCCCAGCTGGGACCCGGACGGGACACCAGGGGCACGGGCCTGGAGCGACCCCTGCCGCCTCACAGCCGCCGAGACCCCCGCTTGGGCGGGCCCGGGGAGAGGCTGCTCCGTGCTGCTGCCGCCTGTCCCCGCCTCTCTGAGCTGCCCTGGTGGCCCGATCTCCATCGGCCTGAGCAAGCAGAGGAGCAGCGATGTGCCCCAGAGACCCAGGGGCCCCCCGGAGCAGGGACAAGGCTGCAGGGGCGGCGTAGACACCAGCGCCTGGGAGGGGCCGCTCCCGTCCGGAGAGCCCGACTTAAGGCGCCAAATGTGTGTGCAGGAAAAAGCCGGGCAGGAAACAGACCAAATGCTTGCATCGTTTATCTCCAGGGGTGGGGAGGCGTTACTCTCTTCCCTATACTGTCCCAGTTTTTAAACAATAAGCATGTCGGCCCAGCGCGGTGGCTCACGCCTGGAATTCCAGCACTTTGGGAGGCCAAGGTGGGCCGATCACCTGAGGTCAGGAGTTTGAGACCATCCTGGCCAACACGGCAAAACCCGGTCTCTACTAAAAATACAAAATAGCCGGGCGCCATGGCTCACACCTGTAATCCCAGCATTCTGGTAGGCCAAGGTGGGCGGATCACGAGGTCAGGAGATCGAAACCATCCTGGCTAACACAGTGAAACTCCATCTCTACCAAAAAAAAAAAAATTAGCCGGGCGTGGTGGCATGCGCCTGTAGTCCCAGCTACTCGGGAGGCTGAGGCAGGAGAATCACTTGAATTCAGGAGGTGGAGGTTGCAATGAGCCAAGATCGAGCCATTGCACTCCAGCCTGAGTGACAAAGTGAGACTCCATCTCAAAAAATATATATACAAAATTAGCTGGGCGTAGTGGTGCACACTCATCATCCCAGCCACTCGGGAGGCTGAGGCAGGAGAATGGCTTGAACCCAGGAGGCGGAGGTTGCCGTGAGCTGAGATCGCACCACTGCACTCCAGCCTGGACAACAGAGCGGGACTCCGGCTCAAAACCAACAAAAACAATCAACATGTAACGCTAGAAAATGTTGAACTTAGCAGTATTCAGCGAACCAGCTGGGGCACATGAAGGTCCCACCTCAGCAGCCCGTCCCAGCACTCCTGACTAGGGCTCCCCTCTGGGGAGGGGTGGAAAGAGGAGCTACATGAGGCGCAAGTGGAACCCTCCTGCCGAGAAGAAAATTCCACTGGAGACAGAGGAGCCCGCCCCAGCCCCAGCCCCAGCCCGGCCCCTCACCCACCTGTAGGGCTGGCCTCATGGTCCCGCCCAGCAATCCTGGGGGCTGCGAGGCCTCTGCTTCTCAAGGGAAGGGGCCCAGAACCCAGCTGAACCACAACCGGCTGGGCTTATGGGACAGGACCTTGAGACCAAGGGGGTTGGCCCCTGGCACAGGCGCACCAGGGACCTGCCTGGCCGGCTCACCCGGTCCCAGATCCCAGAACCAACCGTTATTGTTGGCAGGGGGCTGCCACCACAGCCACCCACGCCTTCTGGGAGGAGCAGGTGGGGGCTGGCTCTGGACAGCCAGCCAGGCCCAGGGCTCTGCTCCAGCAGCCTCAGGCCGTGGGTCCTTTTTTGTTATCAAGGAGGGCTGGCCTTCTCCTCTCAGACGGCCTCCCTGCCATGCAGCGTAAGCTCTCAGGAAAACACTTCTCCAGCACAGCGCTGACCTCCCTCAGCTAGGACCTCACCTGCCTCCATATCCCAGCCCCCTCCCCCACTGTGTACTGGCAGGAGGCTGGGTATGGGGGGGCAGGGGAACAAGAGCATGTGTGCATGAAGCCAGAAAGCCTTGTGGAGCGGGGGACAGCTTTGGGCCAAATGCCCAGGTTGGAGCAGCCACTCCAGCAAGCTGGGGAGGGGCAAGCGCTGCGCTGAAGGTGAGGACCACACACCGACCCACCCACCCGGCCAGCTGTGTGTGTGCCCTGACTCGGGTCCTCCGCGCTCAGCTTCAGGAACCTCGGCCTCTACAGCTGTCCTGCCCCAAAAGCCACACACCCCGATGTGTCATTGTGTGATGGGAGGGGCAGGTGACACCTTTTGCACACATTTTCCTGTTTTATTTACCAAGGATCTTGGTCCCAAATAGTTCCGTCGGCTCTCAGAAGGCTGTGGCCAAGGGTCAGCCAGGAGGCCTCCGAGCAAAGTGGGGGTCGTGAGGATGGGTCCTAGCCAAGGGGTAGGCAGGAATGCACCAGGCTCACATGTGCCTGTAGGGGGTGCCCAGGCCAGCCTGGCACGTTCCACATGCCAGGCCCAGGACTGCGACGCTGGAAGCCCTGGCCTGCAGCTGTGGAGATGCTGGTCAGCTGAGGAGCGCCCGTGCCTCGCCACGACGCTCCCCAGCAAGCCGGCAGTCACATACAAGCGAAGTGGGCAGAGGCTGGGCTGCAGCATTTATTACATGTGCTTTGGCGAAAATAAATAATTCTTCACACAGGCTTTTCAGCAGGACACGAAAAACGTGGAGGGAAGAGCAGCTGCAGAGTTCTCGGAGTAAGGGTGGGAGGGGCGCGGGCAGCACGGGGAAGGACGACTAAGGCACAGGTGCGCGGGCCTCAGCGGCCCCGGGGGGGGGGTGGTGGGGTGCAAACCTCCCCACTCAGTGCAGCTGTGAGTGGCTGGCGGGGATCCCCCGCAGGGCCCCCTCCTCCTCACTCCGCAGTGGTCATGGACAGGGGTCGGGGTATCGGGCAGCCCCAGGGCACCGACTCACGGGCCGGGCTGCAGGAGCGGGGCGCTCGGCGAGGGGGCGGGGTCAGCGGGGCGGGGCGCTCAGCGAGGGGGCGGGGTCAGCGGGGCGGGGCGCTCAGCGAGGGGGCGGGGTCCGCGGGGGCGGCGGGCGCGCGCATGCGCAGAGCGTCCGGCGGGAAGGCCACGTTGGTGCAGAAGAGGCCGAGCAGCAGCTGGCGCTGGCACTCCTCCCACTTGGCCAGCGCGTCCCCCAGCGACAGGTTGTTGCGCATCCACCCGGGCAGTGCGTCGCTGTAGGCGGCGCAGGACAGCGGCACGGAGGGCAGCGACTGGGCGCGGCGCAGCTCCACCTGCTCCGACAGCCTGCGGGGCGGGGCCGGGGCAGGGAGGGCTTCAGTGCCGGGCACGGGCGCCGCGGGCTGTGGACGGGCAGGCGGGCGCGCGGTCGGCGGCTCACCTGGAGGGCAGGTGGCGGCCCAGCTTCCTCTTGGCGCGCATCACCAGGTACTGGCAGATGCTGCCCGTCTGCTCCTTCATCCACCGGATGTCCTCGGGAACGTCGGGCAGCCACTCCAGCAGGCTGGGGAGGGGGCGAGCGCGCGCTCAGGGGCTCGGCCAGGCCCACACGCCCACCCACCGGGCCCTGTCTGTGCCGCGATTCGGCACCGCCCACCCCACCCGACCTTCCTGGTGACCATCACTTGCGGATGATGCCCAAGTCCGTCCCTGGGGCCCCTCTCCCGACCCTCCTGCCCCCACACCGGATGGTGAAGGACACGGCGCTCTCCAGCGGCAGCGTGTAGGGCACCATCATGGCCGTGGCCAGGCGCACGGGCAGCATGTTGGAGAGGGTGGTCATCAGGTCCCTGGGCTCCACACAGGCCTCCAGCAGGGCTGCGGGCGGGCGGGCAGGAGGTTGGCGGCCAGCGGAGGCAGGGGAACCCAGGACCCGCTCGGCTTCCCTCCCCTCCTCGCCGTCCCTTCCTCTCTTCCCTCCCCCTTCCCCTCCTCCCGTCCCTTCCCGTCCCCGAGGTGCACCCTCATTAAGCCGAGCGGGCAGGTGCTCCAGGATGTGACCTTCCCCCGACGGCTGCGAGTGATCCTCCGCTCGGGCGCTCTCCACGGCCTCGTCCTCCTCCTCGTCCTCTGGGCCGTCAGGGCGAGTGGGGGGCAACGCCAGCAAGGGGTTGGGCCGGTTCAGGAGGCCTGGGGTGGGGACGAGAAGGGATTCCCAGTTAATCAGCGCGGCCGCGGCCGGGTCGGCTGGCCGGCTGGCAGAAGGCAGCATGGCCGAGCCAGCCCGCCCACCCCGCCGTCCCGCGCACCGTTCCGCCGCAGGAAGCGCAGGCCGTCCCGGTAGCCCTGCTTGCACATCTCCCGCAGCACCTGCAGTGAGAAGGATGAAATGGAAGTGGGCGGCCCGCGCATCCCCGGTCGGCTTCTGGAGTCCCTGACAGCCACCTCCCTCCGCAGCCCCCAGCCCCAAAACCTATCCTAGATCTAGAACAAGATCGAGGCTGGACAGGGAGGCTGCACAGGAGGCCGGGTGCTGCGGCCCATGCCTGTAATCCCAGCACGCTGGAAGGCTGAGGCAGGCAGATCACTTGAGGTCAAGGATAGGAGACCAGCTTGACCAACACGGCAAAACCCCGTCTCTACTAAAATTACAACAATTAGCCGGGCGTGATGGCACAGGCCTGTAATCCCAGCTACTCGGGATGCTGAGTCAGGAGAATTACTTGAACCCAGAAGGCAGAGATTGCAATAAGCCCAGATCACCCCACTGCACTCCATCCTGGGTGACAGAGTAAGATCCTGTTTTTGTTTTTGTTTTTTTTGAGACAGCGTCTCGCTCTGTTGCCCAGGCTGGAGTGCAGTGGGGTGATCTCAGTTCACCACAACCTTCACCTCCCAGGTTCAAGTGATTCTCCTGTCTCAGCCTCCCGAGTAAACTGGGATTACAGGCGAGTGCCTGGTAATTTTTTTTGCATTTTTAGTAGAGACAGGGTTTCGCTATGTTGGCCAGGCTGGTCTCAAGCTCCTGACCTCGTGATCCACCAGCCTCAGCCTCCCAAAGTGCCAGGATTACTGGTGTCAGCCACCGCGCCCAGCAAGACCCTGTCTCAAAAAAAAAAAAAAAGAGGCTGGCTGTAGTGGTTCACGTCTAAGCTCAGCACTTTGGGAGGCTGAGGCAGGCAGATCACCTGAGGTCAAGAGTTTAAGATCAGCCTGGCCAACATAGTGAAATCCTGTCTCTACCAAAAATACAAAAATTAGCCAGATGTGGTGGTGGGCGCCTGTAATCCCAGCTACTTGGGGGGCTGAGGCACGAGAATTGCCTGAACAGAGATTGCAGTGAGAGAGGAGCTGGACATGGAACCTGCTAGACAGAGAGGTTAGACAGCGAGGCTGGGTGGGCCATCTGCCCCTGGAGAAGTTGTGCATTTCCCCCAGCCCTCAGAAGAGGCCGCACAGACTCCCACCCTACCCCAGGCACTCAGGAGAAGTCAAGGTGCCCAGTGAGGAGAGGCTGGGCAGACCAGTCCCTGGAGCAGGGCTCACCATGGGCTCAGGCGGGAAGAGGGCCTTGGAGAGGCGGTAGAGGTTACGCAGGTTGAACTGGATGCTGGTGTTGGTGACCCGAAGCTCGTGGATGTTGGTAGAGCTGTCCTGTGGGCAGATGTCACTCTCGCCCGAGAAGGGGGACACCGTGATGGTGTTCTTCAGCTCGTAGAGCGGCAGGTTGTCTGAAATGCCACCATCCACATAGCGCTTCCGCAGGACACACAGACAGGGCTGTACATGAGGGCCTGCCGGCTGTGCCAGCCACCCCACCCAGCCACCAAGGGCCCCATTCAGTGGCTATTTCATTTGAGCATTTTATCCACTGGGCACTGGCTGTGGGCCAGCTGGGGCACTGAGCAGATCACAGATGGCCAGGGGCGGGGGGCAGGGGCAGAGAGCCACAGGAAGCGTGTGTTGCCATAGCTGCCCTGTTTCTTGAGTAACACAGGGATGTGGCTGTCAGGGACGCTAGGGACTGACAGGGGAAGTGGGGTAATGTGGTGGCAGAGCAATGGCCTGAGGGGACAGTGCTCAGCGGCCTCCTCCTCTGTCCCTCATCCCACATCCCACCCATGGAAGGTGCTCAGGGTTTGGGATACTCACCACCCCCTGGAGGGAGGGAGGGATGAGGCCGCAGTACACAGGGATGAACGTGCTGCAGACATTGGCCTTCGGGGCAGGGACAGAGCACAGGAGAGTGAGCAGGGGCCTTGGGGTTCGTGCTGCCCCCCCCCCCCCACCATGGCTCCCCCAGGCCCCCCCACCTGGATGAGCTCGTCCTTGGAGTTGAAGTGGGATATGATGACGTTCTCGCCATCCGACACGCGGGTCAGGGAGATGCCCAGGCGCCCACTGGCACGCTCGTGGCTGTCAGCAGGCAGGGTCTTTAGCAGGCAGCCACGGATGGTCTTCACCAGGTTGAAGGAGGGGTGCAGGGGACCCAGGAACCGCTTCCGGGCCTCTTTAGACACCTCGATGATGTTGGCACCAGCCTCACCTGGGGCAGCATGACCGAGGTTAGGGCCCAGCACTCCTGGGCTTAGGAACCCACCTTCCTTCGTGGCCCCGTGCCCAGGGCTCCATGGCATACAGACCCTGGAGGAGTCCCAGTGCCCATGGGGCCTGGCTCACAGCTGGGACTTTGGCTACCTCCCATGGGACTGCAGACAGCAGAGGCTGGTCAGCTGAGACCAGGACCTGCCCTCTGCCTGGTATTTCCCAACTGCCTGTCCCCATGAGTCACTGGGCCTGGTGTGGCATCCAGCCCAGGACAGGGGACCAGGCAGACGCTCAACTCTGACCAGTCTCAGTCTTCACCCACTTGGCCAGATCCAGTGGGGGGATGGGGCAGACCCACAAAGCCAAGCCGGGCACTCAAGTCACAGCTCACAGGCCTCGGGGGTGTTGGGCTGGAAGCAGTCGGGGCCCAGTCCCTAGGAAGGCATACCTGTGTCCCACTGCAGCCAAGAGCAAGCACCCCAGCCAGATACTCCTCTTGGGGCTCAGGGGTGCTGGCCAGCATAGGACTAGTCCCTAGGAGTGGTCAGGAACCTTGGGGGAGGAGCTGAGGTCTGAGCCTTCCTCCAGGGCATGGCCCTGGTCAGGAGTGGGGCAGCGTGGGGCTAGGGGCTTCTCAGCCAGCACCTGCTGAACTAGGGGCTTCAGCTGTGCACGACCACCTGAGAGTCGGAGTCTTGTTGGGAGCAGGGTGGGAGGCACTGTGGGAGAAGCATCCCAGGCTGGGGTAGCAGGGACCCTGATGTGTCTGGAAGCCAGGGGGCCGAATGACAGGTGCTTGTCTGAGGCCTCTGTGAGAGGGAGAGGGCTGACGGGGGCTCTTCCAATAACGGCTCTAGTTATTGGGATCTGGGGGGGTTAACTTCTGTGGTCCAGCCCCATCCCTCCCAGGACAAAGATGAGAGGAAGAGGTCAAGGGCGAAGGCTGGACAGGCTCCTGCTGAGCAGGGCGCCCCTGGCATCTTGGGTGTCCTTGCAGGCTGGGAGCTGGGCAGCAGTTCCAGGACTCCTGAGGTCATGTGCTGTAAACACAGCTTCCTCATGGCAGCCTATGTTACCAGCCGAGGCCAGCCCAGCACACAGAGATCTGCGCCCTCCTGACCACAGGCTCCAGAGCTCAGAGGCACCCTCACCCATGACGTGTGCCAAAGTGGTGGGCCGCGCCCGGGAGCCAGGCCACAGGGCACCGCGTGTGAGGAGGGCAGGGGAGCCCCTCACTCCAGCCCAGACCTCAGCGGGGCTCCTCCTCCCGGGCCTTGGGAAGGACCAGGCCACGGTTCCCGGACGCCTCACAGAGGCCACTCCCGTGCCAGGCCCCCGATAACAGCCTGGAACTGCGGAGGCCCCGGACACAGTGACCGACCGCTGGCGCCGGGTGTAACATCCAGGGCCCCGGGGTGGCTTAGGTCCCTCTTTGGGTTCACGGTCCGGTCCACGAGCTACTTCTCTGTCCAATGAGGCCGCTTCTGCGGCACCCGCCCGCCCCGCAACCTCTGCGCCCGAGAGGCGGCCCCGGCACCCTCGGGGCAAAACAAGCCAGGCCCCGCCCCCGGGCCAGCGACCCGAGTGGGCTCCTCGCGGGTTGGGGCGCGAACAGGAGCCCTCCCCACGGCGCCCACCGAGAACGCCCCCGGCCCCGCGGGCACCCCCGCTCACCCAGACAGGCCCCGGTGACCAGCGCCGTGGCCGTGAGCGCCCCGGCCGAGGCGCCGTAGATGTGCGCGGCGTTGGCCACCAGGAAGGGCGCGTGCTCGCGGAGGCAGGAGGCCACGCCGACGTGGTAGACGCCGAGGAAGCCGCAGCCCGCGAACGAGATGTTCCACGTCGCCTCCCGGGGAAACATCGCGGCGGCGGCGGCGGCGGCTCCGGGCTCCGGGCCCCGGGCCTCTGCGCGCCGCTCTAGCTCCGGGCCCCGCGGGCGGAGACGAAGAACCTGCGCGGGCGGCGCGGGGGCGGCGCTTTTAAGTGCGGGGCTCACGGAGGGGGCGGGGCCGGCGCGCGGGGACCAATCGCGGCGCGCGGGGAACGGCCGTGCCCTGGGGCTCCGCCCCCGCCCAGGACCCCGCCCCCCGCGCTGGGCCCCGCCCTCCGCCGTCCGCCCCGGTGGGCACGCAGGGGGCTCGTAGGGGTGCGGGGTGGGCCGAGCGCAGGCCCCCGAGCCTGGAGGCCGGAAGCCTCGCCCAGATCTGGGTACCCGCGAGAGGGGGCTCGGATTTCAGGACAGCCGCCGCCCCTCCCCACCGGGTCCTCCTGTCTGTCACACCCACCCGGGACACGGAGGAGCTGGCCCCCGGAGGAGCACCCCCAGACCTGAAAGCCGCCCAGGCCTCGGGACCCCCGGGGGCCACTGGCTCACACACAGACTGACCCATAAACATCTAAGGCCGGATGTGAGTCCTGCAAACCCTTCGTGGGGGACCCCAGCTCCGCAGACCCACGTGCCCCGACGTGGGGTCTCACCCCTGTCCCGCGCCCGCGGCCCCTCCGGACCTTGGCCTCTTACCTGGGTCTGTACCTGGGTCCGGCCCTGCCTGTTCAGGCTTTGGGGCTGCCTGCGTGTGACTGGGGCCCGCCCCGTCCCCGATAATTGCCCCAGAGGTAGATCCCTTCTGGGTGATGTCACCCTCCCGCCCCTTTTCCGCATTTTTCTCCTGGTCTGTGGAGCAAGCCGCCCTTGGCTTGGATCCAGGATCCCGCCCTGCACCTCACACCACCCCAAACGAGAGGCTGGCTTAGGTTGGGGTGGGAGGTAATGAGATTCTGTCTCCCCAGGAACACTCGCTCTCTGTTGTCAGGGCTGCAGAGGGTCTGGGATAGGGCATGGGGCTGCCCTCAACCCTGGCTCAGTTAGAGGAGCCTTCCCAGGATGGGGCCATCTGTGGGGATGCTGTCCAGTCCTCAACCCCTCCCAGCCATCCCCGAGAGCAGTGGGAAGTCAACCCCTCCCAGCCCTACTGGGGGCAGGTAGGCACCTGTTACAGAAACTCAAAATGAGAGGAGGCCGGGCGCGGTGGCTCCCACCTGTAATCCCAGCACTTGGGGAGGCCAAGGGGGCCAGATCACGGAAAGCTGGAAGTTCGAGACCACCCTGGCCAACGTGGTGAAACCCCATCTCTACTAAAAATACAAAAATTAGGGCCAGGCACGGTGGCTCACACCTGTAATCCCAGCACTTTGGTAGGTCAAGGCAGGCAGATCACCTGAGGTCAGGAGTTCAAGACCAGCCTCGCCACGTGATGAAACCCCATCTCTACTAAAACTACAAAAATTTGCCGGGTGTGGTGGTCCATGCCTGTAATCCCTGTGATCCCGGGAGGCTGAGGCAGGAGAATTGTTTGAACTGGGGAGGTTGCGGTGAGCTGAGATCATGCCATTGCACTCCAGCCTGGGCAACAAGAGCAAAACTCTGTCTCAAAAAAAGAAAAACGAGAGGAAGTAGCCAGGTGTGGGGCACCTCAGGGGTCTTGGGGGGTTCCCCTGGGGACATGAGGCCCAGTGGAGCTCTGACAGCTAAATTAGCGGACAGGGCTGTAGGCCCCCAGTCGGCCTAGCGGGACAGGGGAAGGCTGTGGGGGAATGAGGGGAGAGAGAGCAGCTGGGCCCCAGCGGTGGGAGAGGGCCAAGCAGGGAGGATGTGACCATATTTGACTTGAAAGGACTCCTCCTAGGCCAGGCTCAGTGGCTCACACCTACAATCCCAGCACTTTGGGAGGCTGAGGCTCGTGGGTGGGGGATTGTTTGAGTTCAGGAGTTTGAGACCAGCCTAGGCAACATAGCTTGATTCCCTCCATACAACAAATTAAAACATAAGCCAGGGGTGGTGCGCACCTGTAGTCTCAGCGCCTCAGGAGGCTGAGGTTGGAGGGTCGATGGCTGGGCTGCGTGGGAGTGAGTCCCGATCACGCCACTGCACTCCAGCCTGGGTGACAGTGAGACCATCTCAAAAATAAAACGAGACTCTCCCTTTCTCTGCACGTGGGGCCTCTTCCAAATCTTTGGTGGGAGGTACACTGTGGCCAATACACAGTGGGCTGCCGTGTGGGGGGCGGGGCTTGCCTGGGATGTCAGGAGCCCCCTGTGACTGGATGGGGGCGACCCTGCTGGAGGTCGCAGGGCTTAGGGTGCGATGAAGCAGGGATGGAAGTCCAGGGCTCCTCAGGGCAACCGCCGACGGGGAAGCCAGGGACTAAGGGTCCTGCTGCAGGAGAGGCCGGGAGAGGTCAGGGTCCCGGCCTTAGCCCCATCTGAGGTGCTGTTGCCTTGATGGTGTGTGGCTGCCCCAGCACAGGGAGACCTCTGCTCCCATTTCCACAGCTGGGTCAGGCTGTTTGGGGTACATATTCCTCCCTCCAGGCCCCTGGGAGGCTCAGGAACCAGAAACCAAGCGGTCTTTCCCGGAATCCTGGCTGGGGCGGAGCACCCCACCAGCAGCACAAGCTCCAAGGGGCGGCTGGATGAGAAACCCCAGGCGGTGTCACACCCCACTCCCATGACCTCCAGGCGACACAGGCCCTCTCCCTTCAGGGTCCAAGGCTGGAACTGTGAGAAATGCACCCTGAACCCTAGTTTCACTCCTGCGGGGGGCCCTGCCCTGAGCCTGGGCCACCAGTGCCCCAGCCTCACCCCTACCCCTTCTGTCGAGCACTGCTCCCCGGCACTCCCTGGCTGCACCCTGCTGGGGACATTTCTCTTTGCTTCCTCCTCCATCTGCTGCCCCAGCCCTACCACGCACGTTCCAGCCTCCTCCACTCCTCACCTGGCTCTACTCATAAGTCTGCTTTTATAGGGAACCAAAAAAAGGTGTTTTTTTTTTGAGACAGTGTCTCACTCCCTCACCCAGGCTGGAGTGCAGCGGCAGAATTCAGTTCACTTGAACTCCTTCGCCTCCCGGGTTCAAGTGAGTCTCCCGCCTCAGCCTCCTTGGTAGCTGGGATTACAGGTGCCCGCCACCAAGCCCGGCTAGTTTTTGTATTTTTAGTAGAGACAGGGTTTCACCATGTTGGTCAGGCTGGTTTTGAACTCCTGGCTTTGTGATCCACCTGCCTCAGCTTCCCAAAGTGCTGGGATTACAGACATGAGCCACCGTGCCTGGCCGAAAAGGTCATTTAAAAAATATTATTAGGCCGGGCGCGGTGGCTCAAGCCTGTAATTCCAGCTCTTTGGGAGGCCGAGGCGGGTGGATCACGAGGTCAAGAGATCGAGACCATCCTGGTCAACATGGTGAAACCCCATCTCTACTAAAAATACAAAAATTAGCTGGGCATGGTGGTGCGTGCCTGTAATCCCAGCTACTCAGGAGGCTGAGGCAAGAGAATTGCCTGAATCCAGGAGGCGGAGGTTGCGGTGAGCCAAGATCGTGCCATTGCACTCCAGCCTGGGTAACAAGAGCGAAACTCTGTCTCAAAAAAAAAGAGAAAAAAAATTATTAAGGCAGGGCGTGGTGTCTCACACCTGTAATCCGAGGACTTTGGGAGGCCCAGGTGCGTGGGTTGCCTGAGCCATGAGTTTGAGACCAGCTTGACCAACATGGTGAAACCCCATCTCTACAAAAAGATACAAAAATTAGTTGGCTGTGGTGGAGCGCACCTGTAGTCCCAGCTACTCTGGAGGCTGAGGTCGGATGATCACTTGAGCCTGGGAGGTCAAGGCTGCAGTGAGCCAAGATGGCACCACTGCACTCCAACCTAGGCAACAAAGGGAGACTCTGACTCAAAAAATAAGATAAAATAAAAAACAAAATATGGCCGGGCGCGGTGGCTCAAGCCTGTAATCCCAGCACTTTGGGAGGCCGAGGCGGGTGGATCACGAGGT